CTATCAATCTGATGGAAGACTAAAGTTTTATATAACATGGATAGAAAAAACAACAAAAAAAAGCACCAAATAATAAGTATAAAATCTGCTAGCAATGCTGCGCAGCAATTTATAAAGGTAAAATTAAAATATTTCTGTAATTGAAATTAATATATTAATATTAAATTGATTACTATATACCGTTAATCTATACTTTAAATAGAGGCTAAATCCAAATAATAATTCTACTTTATCGGGTGTTATTTTATTTGGATTGGATTTAAAATGTCTTGAAATGCGCTGAAATAATAGTAATAGGCAACTTGCTTCTCAGAAAAAACCTTATTTGTATCTCAAATCTGAATCACAAAAAAATTATCATTTAAAACAACTGGCCTTAGACATTTATTCTTGTTCTAAAAAAATGTTAGAAGAACATGGATTTTCTGATACAAATTTGGATTATATAGGGCTTAATATTCTTGATGAACAAGTTAAAATAGATTTTACTGAATCAACATTAGCTACACACCTTGATTCTATTATTTATGCATGTGATATTGGTTTAATTTCGTGAGATAGTTATAGAAACAAGTAAAAAGCATCGTGTTTAAGCAGGGAGTTGTGAAATAAGAAATAGATTGGATAAAAATAGGCAAAGGAAAAAGTAGTATAAAGTAAGTTAAATGGATATTATGGAGAAGTTAGGAGGTATAAAAATTAAGTGGTAATATGATGATAGGTATATAGGTAAAGGTAGGCAAGAAAATTTTACTGTAAAAAATTGTGGGTTTAAAATGAGGTGGATGAATAAAGGTGTAAAGTCTAAAGTGTTGAGAGTTAAATAGAAAGTGAGATATAGAGGGTAAAGGTAAAAGTTATATTAATTTGCATATTGTAAGGCCAGACTAATTTAATTTGGTGGTTTAAATTACCCCTCTTTTGACCTCCTTCTCTTTTGACCTCCCCCTCTCTTGACCTCTCTTTCTTTCTCTTAGTAAAAAAAAAATTGGAATATATATATGATTTTGGTGGAGAGCATAATGTCAGATTGAATTAAGATTAGGATCTAAAAAATTCTGATTTAAAAAATTTTTATTACAGCTGGTTTCATAATTTCTGGGACACTTATAAAAAATTAGCTAAATGATTTTTGGCTGTTCTAGTTAATTTATTATTTCAGCATTATGATTTCGGCATTATTATTATAGATTTGTACGCACGTATGTACTAGTACCAATTTTATTGATTTATTATGCTGAAATAATAAATTAACTGGATCAGCCAAAAATCATTCAGCTAATTTTTTACATGTGTCTCAAGAATTATGAAAACAGTTGTAAAATATACTATGTAGTTCCATTTTTCACCCTCTTCCATCTTTTGAGAGAGGAATGTAATGTAAACCACTGAATTAAATTGGTCCAGCCTAAATATGAAAAAGAATATATTTGTGATAAGAATATGAAAATAGACGAAATTATGAAGGTTTCAAATTGATTATTTGATTTATATATATAATTATGTATTATATTATATTGCAATTAGTAAACTATTTATCTTTTATATAATACTAGATTTGGATAAATGAAAACTATTACTTATACTAAAAAAGGATTTTCAAAAATCAGCATAGCAAACATCAAAAAAGTTGAACGGAATCCTTGCTCACACATTTCATATTACACATTCATGTGATTATACTGGTGTCAATCATTATGATATTTTATAGAATTAGCTTATACTAATACTTTACATTTTGCATAATAGCTAATTAGAGTTTAATAGACAATATAAATAGAGGTTGTAGGATACTGATTAGTTAATTTTTAGTAAATTAGAAATTTTTGGGTTAGTATTTTGGAAGAATCCTTAGTGTATTAGGTATACTGTTTTGGGAGATACTTATTTATGCCAGATATATTATTAGTACATTTTAGTGCTTGTGTGTGATAATAAATACTTGGTTCTCTATTTTAATGCTTATAACCCTGAGCTAAATTAAGCATGCAGGTATAAAGTCTCTCTTTGGTCATAACAATATTTATATCTGAATAATCCAGTCATTAAGTTGAATGTAATTGTTAAGACTGAAACAGAATACTGTATCTAATTAATATTGTGCCAGAGATTACTATAAGCAATTAAGTTTGTGTATGATGCAGGCCAGCTATAAACATGGCTAAATAATATTTATATCCAGTATTTATAATAAAAAATAGTAGATTTCTTTGCAAAAAAAGGGCTGGATAATGTGGAATCAAAACTGTGCTTTCTTCAGAATCAGCCTTTTCTCACAGTATCCATTATTAAGACAGAACTACTATATGAAAGGTCATTATAAGCATACTCATCCTATAATCTTAATTATATTTCTGTTGCTATTTTCATATGATAAATTACCCTGCTTAATGTTGACACTTTTTTGATTCATTAATTTTTGTTACTCAAATGAAGTTATAGCAAATCAATATAGCATCAATAAGTAGATTTGTATACAGTAGTGCAGGCCTAATTTTTTTAAAAACTAAATTATACTGATTAATTAGCTATAATTTCTGACCCTAATATATGCATATATATTATGGCAGGCATGTACAAT